TGATGGCCTGTCTCAGTCCCAACTACGGTGGGCATGGAAGGCGAGGGATGGACCAATAGATGGCAGGATCTCTTGAATCTCTCTTTCAAATAAATAAATAAAAATATATTTTATAACAACAGAACATTTCACCCTGCATAAAAATTTACAGAATTCATACAATAACATTTAAAAAGGATGAGAGTACCCAACTGCTTTGAATTAAAAAATGGTTAAATCAAGTCACATTAAGAACAGAAAAAAGAAAAAAACTAGATTACTCACTGTGAATAATTAGTGAATGCAAATTAGCAGAGCCAGCATGGCAGCTCATCAAAAACAAAAAAGAGATGTACCACATGACTCCATTATCTCACTTCTGAGTATACATCCAAAGAAAATACCAGATACTATCTCACCTCTGAGTACACATCAGGCACCGAAGAGGTGCCTGCAGCTCTAGCCTCATTAGCCAAGATACGAAATTAACCTGTTTATCAATGGATGGTTGGTTAAACATGAGATATATATGTATCATGGCTTAACGCTTAGCAACAAAAAGGGATGCAATTCTGACATGTGCTACAAAATGGGTAGAGTTGGAGGTTGTGATGTTATGTGAAATAATCCAGATGCAACAACAATTTTTTCCATTTGTGGGAGTTAGAAAAAGTCAATTTAAACTGAAAATCACAATTGCTCAAAACAAGGAAGGGGAACGAGATGGAGGGAAGCTGGATTACGAGGGAAGTGCTAAATTCTAGTGTCCCACATGGGGCAGGGGGTGAATACAGCTCTCAATCCCATATGAAGCACAATCGAATAGGCATTCATGGGATATCAACATAAAGAAAAGATGAAGAAATGGAAGCGCTAATTGCCTGATTATATCAATTGACACCACATACATGCGTTTGACACACTACCGCACTACACAAAGATGTGCAAGTATTACTTGTTAACTAAAATAATAACAATAATAGCTGAGGTGGAACTAACTTAGATGGATTTCCTATCAAGTCCTAATTCAGGCATTAGTGTTTGGGGTTTTGTTTGTTTGTTTGCTTTACATTTTCCTTGACAAGTAGGCAGTAAAGGCTCTGCACTCTCATTTGTCTAAGGTTACGAAGATAATGGAGAAGTGGCACATGGATTTCTACATGTGTGAGTAAAGTAAATGATCAAAGAATGAGAGAATTCATCTGTTCTTTCTCATTTTATCTTTTCCAACCACTGCTTGGGAAGTTATTCATGCAAATTATAAGAGTTTTTAAATCTAGACTTTAAGCAGGCCTCCAGGAATTTTCCAGTTATTAAATTTATTAGTAGTAATGCCTCTGATGAACCCTTTTAAGGCATTAGAGCAATTATGGACGCATTTATCTTGCAAAACAAACTTCAAGCTTAGGCAACAGTGAGGTTGATGACATTGCACAGGGATGTATGAGCCTATCAAAGAGAAAACCAGGACAGGAACGTCTGTACTGAGGGAAGAAGAGTCCTGGTCTCAAACTTGAAAATCCATGAAATGCATAGCAGGATAGTTTCCTGGAGAATAAACAGAAAATTTGCTGAGCCTAATGAGTCAAAATCACACACACACACACCTTCACAGAAGGCCTCTTTGCAAGCCAAACCATGTAGCTCTGTTGCTAAGGAGCTGGGTAAAGAAATGTTAATAAGGACCTGCCTGTGAAATGTGTCTTGGGACTGATGCCCATTAGCTTTTGCCATGATTATTTGGTGGAAGAAGGTAAGCTATAAATAGAGGTCATTGCCAAACTTCACTGAAGATAAATCTTGGAAAACTGACAGGATCTAGAAGAAATTTTAGTTGGATATAGGTACATGAAGTGACCAGTATTATAAAGGCAACAAGCTTGAGTTGAAATGCCAAGGCCAAACAAAAGAGCCAGGCTAATATCATTTTATCTCAGTTAAGCTTGTAGTCACTAAATCTAAGCCACTCGAGATCAATGAAAAAAGATAGCCCAACAACGCCCCATTTCTGGAGTGCTCAATGCTGGGGCTACAAGATACAACATTCTGTAAGACACAGAAATTGATCTAAGCATTATAAAAGGTGAAAAGATTACTGAAAAAATAGAGTAATGACCTAAAAAGTTTATGTAGCCCTGTTCAAAATACCAGATTCATCCCTGCTAACTATTCCATTTTCCTGCAAGAGAAAGTATCTGCTTTCCTGAGCTTGTCATATGCACATTTCACACTGTGACTTGCACTGTGGATGAAAGCTTCACTTACTTCAGAGCCATGACCCTGTCTTTCAGTTGTGTATTTCTCACATGATAATGCATTCCTAACACACAGCCACATAATGTAGCAATAAACAATACGGTAATATTTCAAAAATCTCACGGAAGATGGAATGAAGTTTATTCTTGTGCAAAGCGTTTGAGATTCAACACTATTTTTTCCAGAATACACATTTTTCATGACCTTTGTTGAATGCGCCACACAGAAGCACTTTGGCCTCAGGTTCTCCAGGGTTTAATTCCAGGTCTCTTGCTGACTAACTGAGATTTGGGGTAAATTTCTAATTTGTGTGCCTCCCTTGCTTCCTCTACACACAGTAATAGTAAATAGTAGGATTGTAGGAAGAATTGAAAGAGATAATACATTTCCTGGCTTTGAACACAACCTGGTCCTGGCAGTAGAGTGAAATAACTGAATAAAGCTAGCTACTAAAGCCTGCACAATGGCTCAACTATGGATCCTTTATGGGTGCCAGTTTGTGTCCTGGCTGTTTCACTTCCCATGCAGCTCCCTGCTTGTGGCCTGGGAAGGCAGCAGAGGATGTGGGAGACACAGAGGAGGTTCCTGGCTTTGGATTGGCTCAGCTTTAACCACTGCAGCCATCTGGGGAGCAAATTAGCAAAAAGAAGATCTTTCTCGATCATTCCTTCCCTCTGTAAATCTGTCTTTCCAATAAAAACAAATAGATCTTTAAGAAATAATCTACCTAGTAATCATAGCAGCCATAGATTAAAGAATGAGCCAGTTATAAATTATTGACAAACAAGTAAACATGTACCTAACAACTAGGAGGGTTCATGCTGGGTCTTCTTTGCACAATGGCCCAATTTCTCCTAGCTTCAAGTCTCCCAGAATCCCATAAGATACGGGATGTTCAGTTAAACTGCATTTCAGAAAAACAACAGAAACATCTTCTGCATAATCCTAGCTGTGATCTTATGATCAATTTGTTTTCTTTCATGATTCCCAGCTCACCACTCCCTCTGTAGCACAAGCAATAAGAAACTACAATTTTTAATTCCCAAGAGGGAATATCTTACAGCTGCCCAGAATAAAAATCTCTGCCCTCCCCTTACCCTAGAGCAAGGCACAGGACCCTTCTCATTCCAAACGAGTCCTGCCCTACACTCTGGAGGGAGCAAGCTTGTACAGAGAGGCCTAGAAGAATGCCTGAAGCACAGGCCTTACCGGGTTTCCCCACCCAGTCTGCTAGCAATCACATGTGTGCAATGAAGTCTCCACAAAAATCCAAAAGGGCAGGGTTCAAGGTGCTTGCAGATAGCTGAACAGGTGGAGGCTTTCAGGAAGGCAAATGGGAATTCATCCATGTGCCAGGAGTGTGGAGAGCCCCAGCTCCATGGGAAGGCCAGTCCAGGGACAGCATCAAAAGTAAACTGAATTAGATGACTCCCAGCTAACGTCCACTGCTGCACAATGGCTTGCTTGCCAGGCAGGGAGTCAGGGAGTTGGGCTGTGCATCATCCACTTCTGGAGGACACAAAAGGTTCCTGTATTGACTTTAATATGGGAATAGAAGGAAAAAAAATTGGTTTTCCCTATCATAAGATTAAAACAGCTTGTACAATTACTTGCCAAAAACATGGTGAGACATATTCTGGAATAAGAGCTTTGGTTTGTGGCTTTAGGAAAAAGCTTCCACATTGTGAAGTAATTTCTGCTCTGTAAAGAACTTCCTCCTAGGGCTGGAGTTGGGGCACAGTTAAGCCCCCTGTGAACACAGAATCCTGCCTTCCCACTTTGTAACAGTAACCTGCTAATGGTCTGGGTAAGCAGCAGATGCCTGGGCCCTGTCATCACATGAGAGACCTGGACAAGGTTCCAGGTTGCTGGCTTTGGCCTGACCCTAACTATTGTGACCAAGATCTCTTTCTCTATGTCTCTCATTTCTCTGCAACGTTGCTGTTTAAATAAGTAGATCTTGAACAAAAATAAATTTTTCTTCTCTTTATCAGCTTTAGAAAGCCTTCTTAGGATGGCTAAAAAGCCTCGTGACCCTGCAAATGCACAGAAGAACCCAAAGAAATACTGCCTCTGGATTGGCTCAGCTCTGGCTAATTAGGGAGTAACTAGAGGATGGAAGGTCTTTCTCTCCGCCTCTCCTTCTCTCTGTAAATCTGCCTTTCCAATACAAAAATAAATAAACCTTAAAAAAAGAAAAAAGCCTCCTCTGCCAAAAAACTTCCACTTTTTTTAACATCAACAAAATCAAATGAGATTTTGCAACAGCTACAGCACTGCACTTTTTTTCTTTTCCATTGAACACAGGCCCATCTGCAGACTGAACCTATTCTCAGAGCAGACCAGTGAGATGTTCCCCAAATTCTGCTAACTCTAACTACCCAGGACTCCTTCAATGTCTGTATCTCAACTTTCTACCTAACTTGAACTAAAGAGAGCAAATCATTGTACAAAGTACCAGCTTTACCAAATTTGAAGTGGCAAATTTCCCATGCTGGCAGGGATTTATTTGGATTAAATTAGTACTGTGGTTCAAACATGCTAAAGGTTTCTAAGCAAGAGTTGGTTCTTTGAAGATAGATTTGCATATCTGGAGACAGGCAGATTTTTCCAGAGACTGGGTAGTTTAGGCATGCATTAAACTGTATTTATGAAGATGTGGCGTATTCTGCATTCAACAGTAGGGGCTGCTTTACAGACAGGGATCAGTTTTATGTTCTGTCAGGAACCCAAGAACAACAAGTCCCCAGAGGGTAACACCTTACCCCTCAACACTGATTTGAGGTTGAGCTTGGCTTGGCGGTGCAGGTCCTCAACACATGGGGGTCTAGTGGAAGGAAGGAACACATTTTCCTGCTGGTGCCATGGGGCAGTATAGTGCACTGTCCATCGACTCTCCTCGTCTAGGTTGGAAACCGCTGCAGAAAGAAAGACAGAGAAAAGTTAGTTTTCAAATTAAGCTCCAATGGACCTTAGCTGATTGTAAGAATACCAGGATCTTGGGACGTGGCCATTTCGCCTTGTGGTTGAGAAATCCACATCCCACAGGGTGTTGGGTTCAATTCTTAGCTCTGGATCTTGACTCCATTTTCCTAGTAATGTAGACCCTGGTGGCAAGAGTGATGGCTCAAGCAACAGGGCTCCTGTCACTCACAGAGGAGACCATGAGTTTCCAGCTCTTAACTTTGATCCAAACCCAACTACTGCAGGACTACCTGGAAAGTAGATCACTAGACAAAGTGTTCTCCCCAACCCTTCTCCCTTTTCTTCCCCCTCATTTTTTTGTCTTGTCCCATCCCATTAAAAGAAGGGGTCTTATCGCACAGCACATTCAGGAGTAAGGATCAGGAGAAAATGGAGCAAAATCTGAATAATACTTCATTTTGAACTTCACCTTATCTTCCAAGCTTTGTCTGTAAAAGCAAAGCTGACACTGTCTGCAATGTCTTCATGGAATTATTTACTCCTATTTTTCATGGGTCCCTAGCATTTTGGGTTTTCCCTCTAGGCCAATATTTAAAAAACAAAACAAATAAACAAAAACAGCTACCAAAATTGATAAGAGACTTCAAATCCCTACTTAACCCCAAAAAATATTACTCAATGTTTTTAACACCAATGTATCAGTAAGTATCAGACTAACCTGATAGAAATAAATTTCCTATCAGAAAGTTGAGACCAAATATTTTTTTCTTTGAAACATTACTTGAAAGTATCATTGTTATAAACTCAATTAAAATCTTTAAAAATGAAGCATAAGTATTCAATTTGATATATTTAGATGGCACATCTAGGAATGGAGAACCATTCAGTTCATAAAATTTTCTCTTTTTCGGGCCTGACGTGATAGACTAGTGGTTAAAGTCCTCGCCTTGAACTCGCTGGGATCCCATATGGGAACCAGTTCTAATTCCGCCAGCCCAGCTTCCCATTCAGCTCCCTGCTTGTGGTCTGGGAAAGCAGCTGAGGATGGCCCAAAGCCTTGGGATCCTGCACCCACATGGGAGACAGGGAAGAGGCTCCTGACTCCTCGCTTTGGATTGCCTCAGCTCCAGCCCTTGAGGCCGCTTGACGAATGAATCATTGGATGGAAGATCTTCCTGTCTCTCCTTTTCTCTGTATATCTGCCTTTCCATAAATAAATCTTAAAAAAAATTTTTTCTCTTTTTCTTATTTTCATTTAACACTTTTATATTTTACAAAAGCGTTTAATTATAGTACAGTTGACTTTTCTCTAAACAATCCACTTGAATTTTCCCTATCAGAAAAGAGACGAGAATATCAGATGAGGAAAACAGCAGGCAATCCTGAGCTTAATCTAAACCTCTACAATAACTGTCTTGAATTCCTCTAGAGCTTAATTACTTTTTCCCTAAACCCAGTGGTGTTGAGGCAAGAGACAAAACGGAAGCCGACAGCACCTCAACAAATCCACTGACATGTGACCCAGGCAGAAGAGAGACAGGCAGCTGGAGTAGGCTAAGACAAAGTTCTAAAGCCACCACCCCGTCCCCCCCTCCCCACCTCCGGCCCCAGTGCTGAGCTATTTCCTTAAAGTGGCAGGTGTAACCTTTATGAGTCAGCAGGTACTGGAATGTGAGTCCATTCTAGGCAGCCTCATTTCTACATGGACCTGGAAACCAGACCACAAAGGTGAATCTCAGAGTAAAGCAACCGCTGCATCTATCTGAACATAGTTAAGGCTAATTACACTCAGTCCATAGTACAGAGATGAGGACTATTGTAAAAATCAAATAGACAAATATGCTCCAGGTTCCTGGCTTACAAAAGAACTCACATAAAGCAGGACTGTAACAAAGACAATGTTTCAAAAGAGTGCCTAACTTGAGCGCCATCCCGAGGGAGGGCTGTGCCACTTGCAGCTCCCCTGTAACCCTGAACGACAGTCTCCGTTGCACTCCATACATTTTCTTCCCTGCAGCTATGGAATTTTACCGTTTTATGAGTGCATTTCTTCGAGGCTCCCATCCCTTCCACGAGTCGCTAAATGAGAACATAAACATTCATATTTACAGAACCAGACATCAACATCAGGTTTTAAATGAAAATGTCCTGCGTACTCTCTCCTTACAACATTTACAACAGCAGCATGTAAATTAAGCACCTAATATTTCACTTCATCTCTCACAGAACATGTGTTTTGCATGGCGCATGTATTCAACTTAATACACAAAATGTACAACCAGAAAAGCCAATACAGTCACAAACTCGCCATACGGCCCACAAAGTATATCCAGAGCCCATTAACAATTTGCCTTTTTTCTTCTTTTTCTTTTTTTCTGACATCCATGTATTTGAATTGAATTACCACATACCCTTATTGGAAAATACTGAAAATGGAAACCTTTCTTATTTGCCCATTACAAATTAAATCCATGTTGTAATGGCGCTAGTGCCTGTAATCACGCCATCAGACCCAGTGCACAGCTACCAACTGGCTCTGGTGAAAGAGCAGTTGTCTCTGCGCTGATGGATCCTACTCCTGCCAGGGCAGATTTTAATCAGTCCATTCGCCGAAAGCCTTGCCAGCAAGGGAGCTGCAGAAAATGAGCCCTGGGTGCTATTGTTTGTCATGGTCCCTAAAGCTTTTCTAACCAATGCCCCCTAGGTCACTGGTCCCAAACTAAACTGAGACAAAGCCAACAGCAAAGTAACAACAAAGCCACACAGTTGGAAAATAAATAAATAAATATAATGATATCTTCAAAGGAAGGAAAAAGCACCAGGGGTAAAGGAGTTTAAACCACAGGCAAGCGCACAATACAGTCACTTCATACAGGCTCTGAACTCCACAACAACCACCCATCAGTCTAGACAGTTTGTCGCCTTTGTCGTCTGCTCAGAACTTCACAGCAGGCAGTGCCAGGGAGCTGGACAGGACCATCCCCATCAGAACTCTGTTACCTGTCTGCAAGTTCCCTAATTTCAGCTGCTTATTTAACCAAAGAATCAAAACACCATTCATTCACTGTGGGCCAAGAGAACCAGAAAGGAAACGGAAGATTCTCTTCCCTTCCTCAAAGAATTTCTTTTGAGGAGCATAAAAGAAGGCAAGCACTTACAAATATCAATTAGTTAACAAATAAGACATGTTAAGATCGCATAACACTGCTCTAAAGTCGAAGGTATTTGAGCAAGCTGATGAAGAGTGGAGTTTAGTTCACTGCAGTGATGCCATTTCCCACTCTGTCACTCGCAAGCATGAAGTGGCACACCAGAGACACAGACACAAACCACAGCAGGCAGTGGGCAGAAAAGGAAACTACTTACTTTTCTTCTTAAAAAGTTTAATGAAGGACTTGATCTTTGCATTAATGAAGACCACCATTTCTAGAACACCTGCAGAGCGCTGAGCAAGCTAAGTGACATCCACAGCCCAGCACAGCGGGCAGGTGGTAGTTGGTTGTTCTCTGCCGTAACTTCCTTCCTTCTGCTCTAGTCCTTCTACTTCTTCCTGGGCTGTAGTAAGGTGGAGCCTGGGTTTACAGTGCAGCAGTTAGGAGCCATTAGCAGACCTTGAACCTGAAAAACTCCCAGTGAAACCTGATCTTTAAGGCTGAGAGCAGCCAGTGACTGCAGGCACAGAAAGAAAGAGAAAGCCAATCACGGGTCTTATTTGCATGATAGCCACAGCAGGCTTTCCTGCCTCAGGGCTCATTCACTCCCTTTTCTCTGAGAAAGATCAAACATTTCTCTTCTCTGAGCGCCCCAAATGGTGCAGTTTACTTCTCTGGACCCTCTGATGGAACAGTGCTGTGCTCCATTCTCACCAGGCCACTAGGAGTCTCCTGGTCTTTCGACAAATGCAGGCTGAGAGGGATTCTGCGTTGAATCTTTGACTCCTCACTCAATTCAGTTATCAATGGAGGTGGGGGTGGGCGGGAAGAACCAAACTATTGTTTCCAGAGCACGCCTCCAGGCTCTGCTTCCCGTCCCAAAGGAACATTTACAAGCAGTGACACTTAGAAAGTGAATCTCCATGCAATGGCAAGGGATAACTTGGCTGCATTTTTGTGAAAATTAGGATGCCCTGTCTTCTAAACTACTAAGAAACAGACTCAGCATTATATGTTTCAAAGTGTGCTCTAATTTGCATGCAAACATCACAACTCTTAGAGAGGAAACCCACCCAGAAGTCTGACTTCCCCACCACATATGAGGCATCAGATAAAGTACCCCTAATCACGTCAGTTTCTATGTAAATGGAATTATCACCTGGATTTAAGACTAACACAGCCACTCCTCCCAGTAGTGGCCCAGTCCAAAACAAATATATGTGGGTTACTCTTCAATTTGAAAAGACTGGACTGAGTTCTGGTCATTTTGCCCATCTGTTATCAGCCACAGAAAACTGGAGAGACACCATAAAGATGGCAACATCAGATTTGGGGAGTCAAGGGGCACCAAAGATACGGATCCCGACAGCAAAGGGATGGGAACAAGGAGATGGAGAATCAGGAGATGCGATGAGAGATGAAAAGGAGAATAAAGCTGCTCACATTTCACCCAGGCCCAATTTACCTCCAAATAGTTTTTGCAACAATGTAGACAATCTCCTATTTCATAGCTTTGGGCCAGACTTATAACTGAATGGAAAAATGTAATAATCCACTAATTCAAAACATTTAGCTAATAACAAAGGCTCTCTGAGGGGCTCCCGCTGGGGTAGGCTCTAGAATGATTGCTCTTCAAATCTTTTTATCCCCTTAAATCTAATTTTTTGAATAACAGAAGCAAACAAGCAACCCGCCAAAGCAATTACACATATGACCATACATGTCATCACAGGTTTCTAACTTGTGCCTATTCACTCTTCACATACCTTCATTTAAGAGTAATTAAACTGTCAGATGGCAAATCAGCAGGGACTAGGGCAGTGAATCAGATTAAACCACCT